TGATTTTTTTTTTTTTAATTACGAGTTTGTTTTTTGTGTTAGGCTGTTTTAGTTGGCACATTCTTTTATCAGAAAATGTAAATATTTTAATAACATCATAAACAAAACGTTAATAAAAGACTGCAGTATAACTATATATTTTGTACACAATTTGGGCTTGTTTGGTAATCCGCGTTTATTGTTAGCGGTTAGCGCATTGTATTAGCTGTTTTGACCAGCAGATTGCATTAGCTGTTTTGACGAACTGATTGTTTTAACGGCGTGTAAAATAGTGTTTGATAAAATTAGCTATTTTTAATTGTTTGTGAATATAATTACATAGAAATCCCCCCTATATATTAATACAGAACGCGTTGTGGCTGCTTCTGGTGCTTCGGAATCCTATGTGGCAAAATTACATGCTTCGTTATTAGGCTTGGATAAATTTTAATTTAATTCCAAACAAAAAATAATTAGGTTCGGATTACCATAAATATGTTGATTATTTATGGTCATGTTACATGTATTAATTGTATTTTAATATCATTCCTTATCATAACTATTGAATTGTATATATATTTTAAAAGTTAATAACTTTTATATTTTTTATTAGTTTTATATATGTAATATATCAAATTAATCTTCTTTTGATGAGCTTCGATTTAATATCCATATTGTATGTATAAAAAAATAATTTATATTTATCTTTATAACAATAATAAAATTATTTTTAATATTAATTAGAAAAATAAAATTATTTATCAACTAATATATTTATATTTCAAGTAGTTATATGATATACGTTATAAAAACTAATATAATATAACACATGTACGTCATAAGTAACACATATCATTTTAAAATATATAGTAATATATTTTTTTTTTGTAAAAAAGTAAACGAAATTTAATATAGTTTTCTCATTAATTTTAAAATTTAAGAATAATTTTTTAACAAACACCCGTGTAATACACGGGTGTTGTACTAGTGTATTAGTATAACTTAATATTTTGTTTATTTAAGATGAAGTTATTTTTGTAATACTTAGAAAATAAAAAATAAATGATAAATAACTGTACATAATTTCTAAAATAGCAAATTAGTCAATCATATATTTTTTATTAAACGTAACTTATTTGCATTCCTAACAGTTTATTGAGATTTCTTTTTTTTTTTTTTCATTCATGCCACTACATTTATTTTTTATTTATAAAATGCATTTAAACAATTAACCCACTGCCACTATATTACATAGGAAAAGCTAATGATCTTCCAAAACGCTCCTAATTGGAGCTTTTTCAATTTCAGCGTTTTCCTTCAATCCGCTAACTTTAAAAACTATTTAACCAAACAAATTATTTTAGTTGTTTTAATTTGGTCAAACCACTAATATTGTTCAAAACGCTAAAAGCTGGCCAAAAAGCCATTTACCAAACAAGGCCAAAGTACTAATATTCGAGCCCAACTTAACCAGAGGTCTCGTGTTCGAGCCCTGAGAATGCAGCAGCGTTAAAACTCTTGAGGGAGAGTTTTGCCGCCCTTGTGGTCCTACCCGGCTCGATTTCGGATTAGTCGGTTCCCCTGTGGATCAGAAATCGGAAGGTCTCTGTACCAAAAAAAAAAGTACTAATATTCGACTTCTGCATTTGCAGAGATATAAATAAAATATTGTGAGTTATTTGTATGCATATAATGATTAATATTTTTTCTTGTACTTTTTGCAGGACAAATTTACAATTAATTAAAGGAGCTAGAATATTTATTTTTTGAACTCATATTTTGATGTAATGTATATTTTGGATATGTATTTTTTTGTGAATTATTTATTATTTATTTAGGAATTTCAAAAAAAAAAATTATTTTTTAAAAGAAGTTAATTTAAATGTGACTACAACAACAACATCTAATCTCGTTAAATAGTCCACACATTATATGGTCAGCTGTAAGTAAATCAAAAGTTTAAAATAATTTTTGTAATTTTAAAGTGATTAGTGTGTTG